AGGAGTAACAGGCGTAAGTAAGTAAGTTCCGATTTTGGCGCGAAATCCACGTATCCATTTTGTTAATTATAGTTTTGGCATTACAGCTGATGTCAGTTCGAGATGAAAGCCCTAAATGTAATTCCTGACCTTAACCATCAACTGTACATCATAATTCTAATTCCTCACACTGGTCTATAATCATCATTTGGTCCTAGTTATTACGTGAACATTCTCAAGGTCATTTTAGTGTCTCTCAAAAGTTGTCCATAAATTATACTCTCACCTTTTACTCAAACAAGGCTACTTGTATATTTCTATTTATTAAATCTGTTCACTTATTCTTTAATTATCTCGCAGGTTCAAATTTTAGGCCCGACTAACTTAGATCAATCACTAATATAATAGAAGTAATTTTATATTTGATAAAAATAATTATTTTGACCTATGTAAAACTTTATTTTTTTTTCTTCTAAGTGGGATTACTTACATAATATATAGATAAATAGGAAGTGTACCGATTGATTAAATCAAGAGTTTATGATGCATCTTATTGGAAAATCTTCAACAATTATACTTGCAAGAAATTCTAGATAGAAATTTTTTTATTAATTGAGTTATAATCAACACTTTCCATATTATAATAGTTGAGATTATGTGTCAGTTGAAGGTAGACCATCATAGAAAGCTTGGGAGAGCTGGACGGCCGTCCTGCCCTATTGTGAGACTCAGCAGTGCGTATCTATGGTCCTGCCTCACGAGATTCGACTCCAGAACCTATCGGCCCCGCGTGCGAACGCTTAACCTCTAGACCACTGAGCAGGCATCCAACGGTGTTAATACTTGACTTCCAACTAATCATATTACTTTTTTTAATTTTAGTACAATCGTACTTAGATAATATTTTTCATACCTTCAAAATAGAGACATACATAAATTACTGATTTGAATGAGTGATTTAAAGAATTTAGGTCAATTTGTAGTGGATGCTCCTATATCAAGCCCGTATAGCTTATTCTAGCTTTCGGACAAGTCTGTTTATCCATTCTTATCAAGCTACATTTTGACCTTGTTAATTATTTACTTATCATCCTTGAGTATTTTTATATGAGCGTGGTGTGCACTTCTTATCTCATTCATCACATATCTATAACTTATTTTTTGTGTGACTATAAATATCGATTAACGCTCGATTAAATAGAGTCGGCTCACAAAGAGATTTTTTCGTTGTTGCTGCCGTTGTTGTTGCTGAAGCTGGTAATATGTAGGATAGAATTAAATCCAGAAAGGACAAATATTTAACTAAAATAATTAATTTTTTGATTGAGATCATGAACCGAATTGATGTAAGACCAACATTGAAAACCTGGAAGCACTGAAAGGCCGTTTCGTACTATTTTGGAACTTCCCATCAGTGCACATCCACGATCCTGCTCACGGGATTCTAAACCAGGGCCTTCATTCTCGCACGTGGGATCGTGGATATACACTGCTGAAGAGCCCCACAATAGGACGAAACGGCCGTCCGGTGCTTCAAGGTTCCCAATAGTGGTCTAACATCAATCAGTTCATGATCTAAATCAAAAACTTAATAATCTCCACAATCCCTATACTGATAAAATAATTAACATGATGAATGAAGATAGCTTGACTGTTTATTTTCAAGTAAATATTAAATACCTTAACTGACTACATATATCGTCGAATATCATTAAATGCACGGTGGTTTATGTATTTTTTTATTTATCATTTATCAATTTTCCCCACTCAGTTTCATCCAATTAAGTTCATTATAATTAGTTATTTATTTCTTAAGATTGATATAAAATGTAAGTGCTTTTCGACAGAGCACGTTTTCTTAAAATTATGGACGTTAGTAATGTACAAAGTACAAAGCCCTGTCATTTTTTACGTTGTCACGTAAACAGATAACATATTCTTGAATATATTGTATCTGGTAATGTTCCAATCACTTGAAGCCTTAAAGAGAACCATCAAAACTTATGAAAGGTTGATGTACTATCATTATGCGGTGGGAGATTCTCATTTCCATAGAGATCAGAAATCGTATAATAAATTTGTATGTTGGAGAAATGGCCGTAGAACACCTACCTTAGTTATCTTTGTATGACTTACAATGATTTTTCCAATAGTCTATGACTCCATTAAAAAACAACTTGAACAAAACCACTCAGTAATCAATAATTAGCTAAATACTTTACAAAACAAACTGATGACATCCGATCGAGGTATTCGAAGAAAATTAATTTTTCTTTCTAACGACAATTTTCACTTTAAGCTAATATTATTTATTTATTTATTTGAACACATAAATATTGGTACAAGAGAGCGCCAATATATATGCGCCACACAAAACAGTGAAAATTCTCGTGGCGGGGGGTGTTGTTTACGAAAATGAGAGGACGAAAAGCGAACGTCCGGCGCTTTAACCGGATCACAAACCAATGGTGCACATGGAGTCCAGTATCCTGCGGGAACGAATGGCGTATGAACCAATCGTTGGTCACCGGCTACCATGGGATTGCATCTCCTCACGATGCTCCACTGCCTTGTGGGTTAGACAATTAGGTCAAAGGCTCGGGGTGTGGCCCCCTAAGATAACCACCTGCTTCGGTTTGGGCACCCGGGCAGTATCACAGTCCACACACAAACGATGAACTATATGTCTATGGCAATATTTAATATTATTAGAGTAATATTAAACAATCGCTAGTTAGTAGATAGTGTTATACAGAAAATGACTGTTAATTTCATATGTATTATATATTGTCAGAAGGGATGCGCACTACTGAGGAGTCCCATACTAATTCGAGACGGCCGTCCAGTGCTTACAAGTTTTCCATGGTGGTTTAGCTTCAAATGACTCATGATTTCAATCAGTGATATTACATATTGTGTAAAATCACCAAAAGTTTTTGTACGTTTAAGTGAATGACTGAGTGTAGTTAAATGAAATGAATGATTAAACAAAAAAATTTCTAAAGAACGAACTAGAAATAGTGAGTTTCTCTTATCAGTTCTCTAAATCACAGGACTATCATAAGACTCATAATAAACCTGTAATTGGAGAGTAATATTTATGTCTAACCAAGCATAAAATCACAACTCAGTAACTAATCTTGATTATATCAATATATAAAAACATTGTATGATACAATCGGTCAGATAAAATAGCGCTATAAACAAACAAAAGAATAAACGTCAGTTAATTGAAATGATTATATAATCAGAAGTTATTTCTTGACATCGATTCAATCTAACTTATATACACCATACTATGTAATGAGATAATTCAAGTTTACAAAATGAATATAAACCAGTTTTGGCAAAAAATATTTCCGATAGGTATGGGTTGAAGTACATCAAGGGTAGCTGCGAAAAGATATAGTGAAATTTTTATATAAATGGATGATAAGTACTAGAAATTATTTATTATTATACGATTCGCTGTTCTTAACTTATTCTTAACGTATTAGTTACAATCTCCTATACTCATAACCACCATTAGCTTAATCTTGCATAAATATTATTCATTCTATGATGTGATGCGGTCTGGTCTACTTGTACATAAACCAAGTATGTCTGAAATATATGAGTCTGTAGTGTCGGTTATTATGTTAAGTTCATATACCTTATTATATCTTTCGGATAGCCCATTCTATTCATTCTACTTGAGTCACATTCTGACCTTGTTATTTATTCAAGTTTGACTGTTTTCATAGGCACCGCGTAGGTGTGTGTACATTTCTTATCCAATTACTCATCACATGTCTGTAACTTACTTTTGTGTAACTATAAATATTGTTTAATGTTTGGTTAAATGGGAATTGGCTTATCCGCCATCTCCACTGCGCGTCGTTTTGTTTTGTTCTATTCCATTCGCTCTATATACAAAGTATATGTATTCAAAAGTCCATTCTCGTTATTTGACTTATTAAATTCTATTATTGACTAACGAGATTTAAGTCGATGATTATATACGAGGATAGGCGACATATATATTCCAACAACAATCATCATTACAATCTTCTTGGAGTCAGAACCCGGGCCACTAAAGTGGAGAGCCCTTTCGACAACATCGTCCGATCTAAATGACGACAAAATTTAAGGACCCCACAAGTCATACAGCTGATATTTGTGTTATAAACTGAACATGCTTGGCTAGGCTAGAAGTTACTATGCAGAGGATCAATAGGGACTCAGTTAACTCAAAGCTGTCAGTGCCAGTTGACGCATCGTTGGTTTAGCACAGACACATGGTCATCGAAGTTGGTATTCTGACTGACGATTTGTCACGTGATATTTGACGGGTTATAGGATATAACAAAAATGCAAAAGACTATTCGGTGTAAAACTTAATACCATAGCCGGTTAAATGAAGTAATATAATTTTCCTGGACCGACGACAAAATTAAAACTTCCTCAATTCGATCTACGTATTTTGATTAATAACAATAATCGCTCAGAAATAAATTATATCTATCAATGAATAGAAACTTCTCTGACATATGTTATTCGCTTTAATATTATCTTATTTACTACATTTATAAATAGAATGTAGACAGCTCTCTTGATAAACTAATAAATAGATTTTATTCTAGTCATCACTTTTTTACGCTTTTCATCAAAGTTCTGTTTTGTTCTCACTTACTCTATACATTCTCTTACTTAAATTTGTTCAATATAGAAGCTGAACCATCTAGTCCAAAATGACCTATTTTTTATCGAATATACCGCCCATAAAACGACGATGTTTGATATCAGTAAAACAACTGTCAGGTTAGAGTAAGACCATTGAACTTTTGTTGATTGATACTGTAAGTACCAGACAACATTAAATAAAATCTCAGTCAGGTATTGTGACATTATTCTGTACTCACGACTTAGCATATTGGATTTTTACACTTTTTATTGACGATTCATTTTTATAACTTTTCATTACATGTTTCGCCACAAAAAGTGATAATAATAAACTGGATTATTTGTTTTTCCATTGTTAGATGACAAGATATTCACTTCTTGGAATTATTCAATTATTCACATCTTATCAGATCTTCTGTTTACTTTTCATATGTGCACATGGATTCAGTCGTTGTACTACAACTGTAAACAGTGATGGCTTACCAATACTGACATGCGATCATGACAGATCGAAAGCACAATCACATTTTGATCTTTACGATGATGAACCTAATGAATTAATTCCTGAATCAGATTATCTAAATGATCCACTTCAATCTCAACAGCTAGCTGAATACATAATCCCTAGTAAGAGAGCTTTTGTACGTCTGGGGAAGAGAGGATTTGTTCGGATCGGAAAGCGCGGATTTGTAAGGATCGGACGTTAACCAAAAAAAGATCTGTTGAACTTTTTTCTAACTACTGAATTTTGGTGTCAGGACTAAAATAATTGTAACCTTTATGCTACTGAATAGAATTCAGTAGTCAGTTTCAATAAAAACATTTAAAAATATTCTGATTATACTGTAAAATAATCTTATCCTCTAAGAGTTGTTTGAGGTGAAATAAGTCAAATTGTTAATAAATCATTGACTTGATGCTGAAGATTTTTCACACTAAAGAATGTGATAAACTTAAACAACCTCAAGTATTTGTTTATATTCTTTGAGCCATATTCTTCTGGATTAGACGTGGTTCAAATGCCCTATAAAATTCAGTTGTTTGTAGACATGTATCTGACTCGTTAAATCGTTCGACAATGTTATCGAAATATACATCCCAACTGCCCTCGGGCATAATTCCCAACCTAATTAATGTTAGAGAATAACGGAATAAAATAAATCGAATACGAGAATGAATTGTGAACACGCATATTTCGTAAACTCATTTGTACGAACAGACAGTCAGAGGAACGAAGTAGAGAACTGAAGCGAAACGAAGCGACGCGGAGAAGGCCAACTTGATTTGATCAAGCATGACTCGATAGTCATGGTCAGACAAAAATAACTTACATACATATGATGAGTAGGATAAGCAATGCACATACATACATAATCAGGGTTAATAAGAGAATGATTAATAAAGCCAAAATGTGACTGAAGAAGAATGAATAAACCGGTCTGTTTAGAGGCTAAAATAACCGATATGAACTTAACACAGGACTAGACACTAAAAAGCCCCCATGTAGAAAATAGCACAATAATGTTTTCGACAATAAAACTGAAGAGGTATGTGCTTAACATTAACAATATGTAGCGAAAACTATTGTGCTATATCTGATAGAGTACAATGTCGTGCAAGTGCATTATTCGAAAGTTTCATACTTATTTTAAAAAATACATGAATATCGTAAAGATGAGGACAAAAAACGGAAATGTTAGCACGCGATTATGAGCAAGTTAATAAGCCTACAAAAAACATGTATTTATATCATGACTTTCTAAACGGTAAATTAACACGTTCGTATGAGCGATTCGAAATACCGTGAAAACGTAATAATAAATCGTTTATGGATATGACAGCTGAATGAATCGTGAAAATAAGTAGAGTAGAATATGACAAATTAATCTGTGGTGCCGACAGAATATCAAGATAAAGAATATTTGAGTATTAACAAGTCATAATAAGCCTTAATAAGGTAAATAGCGTCGACTAACGATTATTGTATCGGTATTCACGTGGAATAGAGTTTCTGTTTGTAAGATAAGACTAATCAATCCGTAAAATGAGAAATTAATCGATGGACGATATTCATGGCTGTACCGCAATTGATAAATCATAAAATGCGAAGCCAGTGTATGTTGTCGTTCGCGTATAACCAGATGCATCTAGTTATCGTCAAATATGTATTAGTAGAGTGACCAGAGGAACAGAATAGTGACTATAGATACCACACATGTAGCCTAATTGACTTAGGACACTAACTGAACTGCTACTAGAAGACAAAATAGCTGTCCAGCAGGAGAGTTTTTCCATTTATTAAAATAGCATGCATGTAATAAAAAAATATTCACAGTAAATAAACATGGTCAGATATCACAAACGGTTGAACATTATCAGTTTTGAAAGTCACTTGTTCTCCAATGAATTAAGGCCTATCCATCATTTCACTATCGTAAAGAGTTGCAAATAGTCAGAAAACGTGATATTATTGTCCAAAACATTAAATAAGCCATTCAGTTGAACAATTTATAAGTGACTTCCAACTAACAAATTGCTTACGGTACGGTCACTCTTACAAATCTCAGTACATTACATGACTCAGATTACAAACAACAATGAAGAAACCAACAGAGTCAGTCAACTGCACATTTACTCAGACAAGAAATAGTTAGATTTAAAAATAATAATAAATATTTCAAAAGTTGTGAAGGATTAGAACAAGTGAAAAGATAAAAATTAAGATTAGGTAAATAAACAATCGCAACGCAGAGTCAGCTACAACGTAGGACCAGGCACATATGTGCATCGGTCCAGGTTGCCATACCGCATCAGCACAACAAGATGAACACCGGATTCCTAACAGTGGTTAGGTAAAAGGTGGTAATATATAGGAGAAAGATTGCATATAGAGATATAGTACAAGAAAGAATTGGTTCGTAGAAAGAAAGATATGAAGCGATTTTAATCTCTTAGTTTAAGGGAAGACAGGGAGTGTATACACCGACGCCATTGTGATCGATTCTGAGCCATGTCACCCAAAGTCTCCAACCATTGGGTACGATAGTCACGCGGATCCCAACCAAGTAGTCTGCATCTACCAACATGGCTTAGACTATAAGTTAGTGACTTCAGGCACTGATGCCACGTTTTGGTTCGGCCACCCCTAACATTCTTCCAACCATTTCCAACACTGGTCAGCATTACTCGTCGTGGTAAACGGTGTTCAGGCATACGTAACACGTAGCTCAACTATCTCAGTCGATGAAGATTCACAACTTCATCAACTGATTTACCATCATTTTCTAATACCCTGTTTCTAACCTCACTATTACTTACCCAGTGATCCCAGCAGATGCGAGCAATATTTGTAAGGCATCTGCGATCAAATACTAGTAGCTTACGAGTATCTTCTACTCTTAATGGCCATGTTTGGCAGCCGTAAATTAAAACAGAACGGACTGCCGCGCAGTATACTCGTCCTTTTATTGATAGATGGATATCTCGCCTTCGCCACAGGTGACGTAAATTGGCAACGCACTTAAATGTATTTTAAGAATAAAAAGTGTATGGTGATGCTGACAGCGTTTGTGATTTGTACACTTTACCGGTGATTTTTCCTCATTGATGTAAAAATATCTGATTGAGTATGCTACAGCATGAAATGGGATTGTTATAACCTGCATAGAAAATGAGAGACATTTGTGTCAAGTCAAAATTAGAGGGTTATTCCGCCATAACCTACAACATATTAAACTAACAATCATACTATACAACTTGATGGTTAGTACTAAGTCAGTACTAACAATTATAAAACGCATTAATCATTTCTAAGCAATCACTCAGGGTAAAGCATAGTCATTTGTCACAGAAATAATAACATAAAGCTGCAGTCGAAGATTTACTGAAGACAATTAATAAAGGCTGAAAATAAATTCATAACAACCTATTTTCAGATTAGAAGCTATATATATATATATATATATATATATATATATATATATATATATATATATATATATATATATATATATATATATATATATATTTATATATATATATACATGACATATAGTATGTTTGAACTATGCTTATGCTTTTCACCAAAGATTCTTTCTAGCTAATAATGAGCCAAAAATGTTAGGGAATTTATTGTAGATCCATATTCAATGTAAAAGTTGGAAATATGGAAACATGCAATATTTGTGAAGGCAGTTGGTATCGCAAACTAATATAGTAATACAGCGTGATGTTTAATTAATATCGTTAGTCAATTACTATCCCAACTTAGTAGGAGCGCCTGAAAGCCCTAGGTTTGGTCCCTAGAGAATTTGTGAGTGTGCTGCTGAAGAGCCCTATACTAGTACGAAACAGTTGCCCAGCTTTCCTGGATATCAGTGGCTCTTTAGCCGAAGTCCTTCCATAATGCAAGCTAAATTTACCATCGTTAGAAAGTATGAGAACTATATCCGATAATTTAACACTTCAAATGCAATAAAAATTTTCATATCGATTAACTTCTCTTTCTTTTAATCAGTACAAATGAAATTTATCTGGACAACAAAATGATACCACTAAGCCAAAGTGGACATTAATGACAATAATAATCGTAATTAAAATAATAATAATAGTCAATATCCCACATAGTTGTAAATCCTAACAAACTCATTTTGTCAAGTAACACTTCGTTCTTGCTACATCACTATGTAAAGCAAAATGTAGCTCACACACTACACTTTATTCCAGCAATGTACATGTTTTGACAGGTCAAAAATTAAAGAACTACTTGTAAGCCTGATATTTAATAGTGAAATCTCAGGGAAAGTTATATTTTACAATACAATTAGTAACTGACAATTAAAACTTAAGGAAACAGTACTAATTAAAGGTGTCATTTTAATTTGAACTCATGACCAAATGTTATTTAACTACAAACAAATAGTTTTTAATAAGTCATGACCAAATATGAATCAATAAGTCAAGCTGTTTGTATCAATATATACCAGAGTTTGAAACCAGTAGCTGGATGATAACCGTTCGGTATATTTATTAAAATAGTGTATGCGTTTCGCTACTAAAAGAAGAGACCATTTATTATATTTCATCTTTAAATTATTTGTAGTTTGTGCACATAAAACTGTTTGTGTTATCTTCAAATCATTTGATGCTTGATACGTGTTATAATTCTCTCGTATTACGACCCAGCTATTCCTATTGCTTAGTAGTGTTGAACACTAATTCATTCGTCAAGTCCCCAAATCAGAGCACGGTTGAACAGGAAAGAAATTTCACTCCAAATAACAAGGGTAGATGGAAGTAAGAAGTACAATAAGAAAAACGTTAGTATATTTATAGTATTTACATGAGATTCTAGAGTCTCCTACAAGTATCGACTAGCGCTGATTGGATAAGAATTAGCCAATCAGTGCACAGCAATAATATCGTGAACGGAACATGCTTTAATCTAATCTATGTCCCGCTAACAGTACGAAAATGGAGATGCTTAAAAGAACAATATCACACATCGTTTATAAAGCATTGAAAAGATTTTAGATACTAAATAATTATTTCTTTAGGCTCTACCTGAGTTATGAGTTAGTCAGACAGTCAGTCATACGTAACGTAGAACCTATCATATGTATACATCGGTTTAAATTACCACACAGCATTAGCACTGAGAAATAGAACTTTCACGGTAAATCCCAGAGTAGTTGAAGTAGTAACAGTATCACTGGCAAGAGAAAATATTATGCATCGAAGATACGACTCTAACAGAACATAAAAATTATTGGAATAAACAAGGTTTATTAGTTAACTTAGGACCTGAAGAAAGACAAAAAATGAATATACTTCCGTTACTGAGCATGATTTTCAGCCGTCATCCAAAGTCTATAACCATGGGCTACGATAATCCCACAGACCTCAACCAGGCAGTCTACACCCATTTACACGACTCAGCTCAACAGTCATTGTCTTTGTGGACTGTTGCCACGTAACGGTAAAGTAAATTTAACTTCATTAATAAACGTACTGAAAAGATCAAGGTACAGCTTCTCAAGTTTTAGTGTTAATTCTCAAACAAAAACTTAACAAATAAGTCTCAGTAAGAGTAACACCTCCTAGAAACAAAAATCGGTACAGACCCTTTAATTTTATCATATTAACAAATAAACTCCGCACAAAACGTGTATTTACAATTAGTTATGAAATCTGCACTGAACAGGGATAATTGAGTGGATGAATGAATAGATAAATTAATTATTATCTGTATATATGCTACTAATCAAAAATATCTCCGAATATGAAGTGAAATCTAAAAAAAATCAAATAAGAGAAACTAAATATATTACTATTCGTACAACAGTATGTTTCACAAAATACATATTTCTCTTTATGTTACCAAATTATTCCTCTGGAGGTCGATAGACATCATTATCATAATAAAATGAACTAATTGGTCTATCATTATCAAAGTACGATAGACTTGAGTTTGTTTTATCGGATGTTGTATCCTCTTCTTCAATCGTTGTCGGTGGTTTGAAACTAGAGTACGGAGATGTAGATTGTTCACGTTGTTTATTATAAAACTGTCTACGTTGTTCATAATTCATAGGTGGATGTTTTTCTACAGGTGTATTTACAATTATAGGTGAATCAGGAGTAGGTTGAAATGTTCCGGGAGTTTCCATTCTAAGAATCTGATCTTTGATTCGACTATTGTTAAGCTGGAGAAACATACGTCTACATTCTCCTACGCAACTGAACTGCCCAACGAAATAACCAATGGTAACTCCAAAAAAGTAAGATGGTAAACGAAACATCTTACGCTTTGAAAACCATCCATATTTATCAGCAGCACTAACAGCTAAAAGAGCACCAATGGAGAATGGGAGACTGCCTCTCCAAAATGAGATTTGTCTGCACTTCTTTAATGTTTTTACATCCTCATCCGTCAGTTGCAATAAGTCATTTGATGGTAACATACCTTGAAACAAAACAAATCTAAATAGTTAAATTCGATTAATTATAATGAACAAAAATGATGTGTATGAATCTTTATGGTGAAATTTATCGTTAAATTGCACCAATCTTCATATCTGTGTATAATCAACTGAAGTAGTGACTTACTAAATAGAGTATATGGCTTTCAAACAGTAGGCTACAATTTTAATCTCTATATCATCTACTACGGTCTGGGTATCTGGGGAGCATAACTATTACATAACGTGACTTGGGAATATAAACCTATACTTCCCAAATGGGTTACATGAGAATTAGACAAACGGTAAACATTTATTTCAACCCAGTAGTAAACAGCCTAGAACATAATACTGTCTAGAATTGTAATAATGCATCAGCATAGTGCTAGGAAACGAACGATATGAAAAACGAACAAATACAAATAACGATATGAATGGTAGTGAAAATAATGAATCAAAGAGACTAAATGAAAAGCATGAATATCAAAACTTAAGATTTGTAGATAAATAAGGAATGAAAACATTTACACCGTTGCAACTAAATCCTAGTTAATCTACTTAAAATACAAAGAGTTAATTAGCGAAGTTCAAAATTAACAGAGTACCACCATTGAGATATAAATCAAGAAAGACTAGATAAGCACAGAGTTCTCTTTTTGGCGACTTCCTTTTTAGGGCTGTACAGTTACAAATACTTTTCCAAAACGATAAGCACTAATACGTCTGTTATAGTAATTATTGTAATAATAACGACAATAACTTTTCGAACATAATAACAGAGAGGTGAAATAAAAATAGCACGAAAATGTTATCTTTATTGAGAAACTAAGAACCTAGCTATTGATAGTCTGAATATTCAACAAGATCAATGAAAATTAGTAGTAGTAAAAACTGGTTGAGTAGTGATAGGATATAATATTTATGTTAAGGTTAAACGTATTCGGAAGGACCATACGGACAGAAAAAGCTAGTAGAGAAGGAGAGGGGGGAAGGTAATGGTGTAGTGAACAATAACACGGGTGGGGACAGTCGAATGTATTTAGCTCGAAAATTACAGACTATCTCAACAAAATCTGAATACCATAAAGTCAATCGTCAATTTGCAAATTATCAATACATCATATCAAACTGTACTGTTCAAGTTGCAAATACTAATCCATTGTCTCCCATTCCATTGTTCATAAGTTTTCTTACAAATTCCATTATGTTCTTGCTCCACCTTTCTTGGTCTTCGCCATCTTTTGCTGCCGAGCATTACGTTCTTTTAACGCACGTTATATACTACTTATGTCAATATAAGTAGCTCACACCACAATGGGTAAACAAAAGGTTAGCATCAAAGTAGATGTTTAATAAGTTCCTTTAATATGCATCGTTTTGGCTTTTTCCCAAATGCACAGGAAAAGCTTCGGCAACTCTAAAAGAAGATGAAGGCTCATTGTTTGGTACATTTAAACTTACTATGTGGACAACTTAAGAATTTAAATGGAATTGCCTTAAACTAATAGATATCCAACTATATGGTCAGTAAATTTTTCAAGATAAACTAAAAATGTTAAACCATGAAATATCATATGTTTATCCAAAACACCGAATAACAAGTAATAGAGCTTTAAATAGAAACCACTTTTGCTATTTACTTGAACACATAGATATTGGTAGAAGAGGGTACCAAATATATATGCGCCACACCATATTTGTGTGTGGGCTGTGATACTGCCCGGGTGCCCAGACCGAAGCAGGTGGTTTTCTTAGGGGGACACACCCCGAGCCTTTGACCTAATTGTCTAACCCACAAGGCAGTGGAGCATCGTGAGGAGATGCAATCCCATGATAGCCGGTGACCAACGATTAGTTCATACGCCATTTGTTCCTTCGGGATACTGGAGCCCATGTGCACTATTGGTTTGGGATCCGGTTAAAGCGCCGGACATTCGCTTTTCGTCCTCTCATCTTCGTAAACAACACCCCCGCCACGCGAAGGCAGTGAGTAGGACTTACCTGGCAGAGGCTGCATACGTGTGGCCGTGTGAGAGTATTTCGAAAGGGAGAGCGGACTCTCCCCACTCTCGGTCATACCAGGGCATTTGAGGGCTTTAAATAGAAAAATCTGTACAGAAACACTAGAAACCGTGTGCGTAAAACCAATGTGTATGGTAATGGACCGTTGCATTTGCAAGATTTTTCGATCCGTCAGTCAAGTCCAAAGTCACTACTAACATTACTTGGCGGTTGGGCTTGCCTATCATAACGACCCAATCGAGATGTATTGAGTGGGACTTTTGGCTATTTAGGTCCAACCACGTTAGGCAAGGCGGTTAGGAAAGGGGTAGGACTAAAATTAGAAACTCAAGAGCCGAAGGTGAAGTCGTATTGCTAAGGTACGACCGCATTAAAGTGCTTCTTCCAGATAACGAGCATCTACATAGATACTGTCTTTTCACAAATGAAGGTAGGAAAAAGTTCGTCCTGAAAATTTCATGCATTACCTACTCTATAAATTTGCGTTTCCAGTAGTAAAATATTTTGGAGTACTGAGTTTACACATCCAAAACTCTCGATCCTCCTACCTAACAATACTTAAGATCCACTTGTTCGCGATCAGATATTTTCAGCAAGTGAACGAAAACACAAACAGGAAGATATTGAACTGGACTTTTTATTTTTAAACTAGATGGTGGTTTAAATAAATCTTCCGAAATACTGGATTGAATAAGGCGTGAAATGTTAAAAACTATAGCGACTTCATGTTATGGTGGCTACCGGTAAATATAACGGTCCAGAATGGCGTTTGTTTATGAACATAAAAGTGGGATGCAACTAGATCTGAACAGATGGATACTTTCTATATCTCGATTAGCGTACTCCATGTGACAAAACAACAAAATAAACCATTCGCACACATATCTTGAGCTTTGTACCCATTTGTTACAAGAGAAACCTAATAAGACACTTTGCAAATAGAGCCACCAAAATCTGCTCGATAAAGATCATAAATAAGTAACTACAGTTTATTCGGTATATATTAACTGTATCAGTTACTGGAGAAGTTTTTTGAAGAAATCAAATGGGGTGCTTTTGAGTGTGGTTGGGAATCTGAGGGCAGTTTTCATTTCCCGGTTGCCCACACAGTGTAAGGGTTATTCTAGAGGTACCTGAAAAGGAAATCGGGTTAGAGTTTGTCTTAGTGACCCAACAACGTGACCACAGAACCCAAAAGAAAACTGCTTGAGTCCAGAAACACACGACCTGCTGTGGGTAACTTTTGTGCCAGCACTGTACTTATTAAGATAAGACGAGGTGTACGTTCAAAGAGTCGACCTTAGTTAACGAGTTAGAGAACAGTTACGTTCGTGATTGGTAAAGAGTATGATCAAAACAATAAGTAATTTTTGTTCTACCACTCCTGGTCAACAGTGGTCATGTAATAGACAAAACTAAATCATCCAGAGTAATTTGTCGTACACCTACCACTTTTCTTTATGGGATTCAACCACGTCTCTTACAGGTAACAATAACTATAGTGATCCCGACCAATAACTCGTCTCGGTAATCATAAGAAATTTGTAACACCCTTATCTCTTCTTTGGCCCAACTAGGCTTAACAGGTGATTTCACTCAACATTTTCCATACTCTTTCCGAGTTTGTTCTTCTTTATCCCTTATTTGAATATACTCTTCAGTCTAATTGTTTGAACGCTTCTTATTTGGTAATCTTGTTGGTTTTTAATGAATTTCATTTCAATGTCTATTTTTCCAAGTCTTTGACTTACTACTTCCTGTTATAAGACGTTGATTCAAGCCTTTACTATTTCCATCACAACTAATACATCTATAATCACATTATCAATTTGTATCTTTTATTTATAATGTTTAGTTGTGTGGTTCATTTCGTCGTTATCACTGACTGTCTTGACTGGTTTAATAATTCCATACATGTATATAAATATTGTATATTAAAGAAAAGCCTTATGAAAATATATTTGATTTTTCATTGACACTATGAATATACTTGTCATCAGATAGACGTAAGGCACTAGACGGATGCGAACGATCCACTCCCAGACAACATAAAAAGGGGAAATAATGGGGAAAAAAGGGGAAATGAAGGGGTAAATGCTTTGGTAGCGAAAGGGGAAATAAAGGGGAAAACGCATCAGAATGTCGCCTTTTTCGCCTGTCCGGGGTAAATAATGCGGAATTTCCCATTTTTTGCCTTTTTGTCGACAAATTACCCACTTATCGCCTAAACATCCGCTGAATTGTAGCATTTTCGCCTAAATATCCGCAGAATTGTCGCATTTTCGCCTAAATATCCGCAGAATTGTCGCATTTTCGCCTAAATATCCGCTGAATTGTCGCGTTTTCGCCTAAATATCCGCCGAATTGTCGCATATCCGCCTAAATACACACATTACATCCTATTTTCTATCCATTGACAGAAAACCAAAGGTCTCCTGCATTCGCCTTTTTTTTCAACAACAGACCAAAATATTTCTGCAAGGCAGTGGAAAAGCGGTAAATTTTTTAAAAGTTTTATTTAAAAAGAAAAGCCTATTATTGTACAACAGTAGAGCACAAGGTTAAGCATCGATTGTTATGCATATCCAATGCAATTGCTAATTAATTGTTATAGAAAATTATCTGAAAAAGAAGGAACAGGTTATGTTTTATTCATAAGCAATGTCCATTTAATCAAAAGTTCACTCAAACTCAAACACATTCTCAACAGTTTCCCAAGTAAGTAAAAAAGTAAGCTGTTTGAAAGAAAAATGTTTATTGACATCGAGGTAGAACACCAAAACAATTGCACGGACTATTCGGAATTGAGGTAGTCGTCCTGTGAATTCTGAATTAAAAAAAAAGGTCACAACCATACCTCAATGATATGCTTTGGCACACCCAAATACTTGAAGCTGAACTTACGGTTATGTTCGTTAATATTGTTGACTGTAACTATAGAGCCGTAGGGAGGTTATCACTTTAAATCTGTACATACCTGGTTATCTTTTCTCCTAGAACGTTTTATCATCTTGTCTCGAATGTCGTGAAAGTAACCTTGGGTCGCGATGTCGTAGAGCTTACCAAGGTCTTTTTCGTTGACAGAGGATGACAAAAAGCGATGAGTCAAAGCACCTGAAGTTTAAGTAATAGATAAAGGTTACTTCGTATGCAGCCGTAAAACGTGCATTTCTGCAGTGCTCGTTTTGAAGAGGTGCCAAGTAACGTGAATTTACTGGCAACCTCAGGTGTCAACAGATACGACAGAACAAACCGCATGGACGCTTTTGGGTCGTCACTTGATAACCTAGTGACCATTGCCATCTGTAATCGTCACAAATAATTAAATTTATGTTAATGACTTACAAATCTGTCCCTGGTTTCTTTCTGCGACAAACCGGTATCAAGCATCTGCAGTTCCTCTTCAGATGACAAAGGAAACTGCTGACTGGATAGTCCGCAATCGAATTGATGCGGTTTCTCGCTTTCATGAAACTTCGATAGCAGTTGGTTAACATTAACATTCAAGTCAGTAATGGCGGACGACATGTTGTTAATCGTTTTTGTCAGTTCACTGATAGCTGACGACATGTTCAGCACCAGTGTATACAACCTTTCACTGCTGAAAAAGGTCACTACATGATGCAGGTAACTTACTTGTCCACTATAGCGCCACCAACATGCTTACATTCCGATGTCGAAGGTGATGTCTCTAATTGTGTCGAACTAATTCGTGAATATCTAAATACTAATTAAACGTACTTGGCGATTGGCGATATGAATTTTTCGAAAACACGGAATTTTGGATATTGTACGGGGACATTCCTAGACTGCATCTCAGCCACATCCATGTCGACTGAATTGTAAAGAAAATCTTCTTTACGCTTCATTACACCTCTAGGAAATGTTAGTAAGATCATTGTACAGACCTTTTTGGCTTCTCAGTGTTAAGTGGCAAAGTGTTTTCATCCGTTGAGGTGTTTTTCCGTTGAGACTCCAGTATCTGTAGGGCAACTAACAGATATTTTGCCGACTGGAGAGAATCTATGGTGAATTATCCATCCTGTGTATGTAACGTACCTAATTCGTGAATCACTTTACATTTCATAAATGACCAATTTTCATTCGGTTGGTTGCTCTTCTGAAGATGTATATCTACATGCTCGTTCGGAAAAGCGCACAGTTCCTTTCCTACGATCCACTCTTTGTGTGCTACCATCAGTTGTTTTTTGCTCAGGACGTCAACAATGACGTATTTCTTGTTAGCAGGCTGAAAATAACATAAGACGTAATTAAATGATTTATCGTCATTAATTAAACACTAGTGAAACAAAATGCATTTACAATAAAGTATGCAACAATGGGATTATAACTACATAATTGATACAGTTGATGGCTATACATTTACAATCAATGTCCTTAAGTGATATCCATGTGTGTTCATGGCTAACTACGGAGCACCTAAAAATTCCAATATCAGTAGATGGGAATGGATCTTCAAAGTAATTGCATGGGTCAGTGAAAGTCCTAAATTTTAGTAGTCCATCCTCCTTTATATCAGTGATTAAACCTGGCTGGCCGTTCACTACTACTACATTATCAGGCTGACATGAAGTGATTTTACTACTGTTAAACATAATTACTTGTTTTGTAGAGACATCAGTAGCGCCTATTGGTGTAGTATTAGTTAAGCCACTAATTTGAAGCCTATCGCTGAAGGACATTCTCTCAGCATAACGCTGTGCTGCTTGCTTAGCCACTGCAAACCCACTACGCACGGAATCCTTAATTTGCCTCATATAAGACTCGAATGGAAAGGCTGAAAAACTATCTAAAGGTCCATGTGCACGAACGTCGTCAGGGAGGTGCTGTAACGAATGCACATTGTAAACTAAGTGTTCACACCCATAACACCATTCATATTCATTCATGAAGTTTAGTAATTCCATTCTGGCGGTTTCTACAATACTTTTATGTACTTTGGGATGTGCAAGCAGATACATGGATAACACTAAACGCCGGAAATTAAGATAATAAGGTTGTGGCAATGTCTTTTCAAGAATCACCGGGCCTAAATATAGCAAATTAAGGATTCCGTGCGTAGTGGGTTTGCAGTGGCTAAGCAAGCAGCACAGCGTTATGCTGAGAGAATGTCCTTCAGCGATAGGCTTCAAATTAGTGGTTTAACTAATACTACACCAATAGGCGCTACTGATGTCTCTACAAAACAAGTAATTATGTTTAACAGTAGTAAAATCACTTCATGTCAGCCTGATAATGTAGTAGTAGTGAACGGCCAGCCAGGTTTAATCACTGATATAAAGGAGGATGGACTACTAAAATTTAGGACTTTCACTGACCCATGCAATTACTTTGAAGATCCATTCCCATCTACTGATATTGGAATTTTTAGGTGCTCCGTAGTTAGCCATGAACACACATGGATATCACTTAAGGACATTGATTGTAAATGTATAGCCATCAACTGTATCAATTATGTAGTTATAATCCCATTGTTGCATACTTTATTGTAAATGCATTTTGTTTCACTAGTGTTTAATTAATGACGATAAATCATTTAATTACGTCTTATGTTATTTTCAGCCTGCTAACAAGAAATACGTCATTGTTGACGTCCTGAGCAAAAAACAACTGATGGTAGCACACAAAGAGTGGATCGTAGGAAAGGAACTGTGCGCTTTTCCGAACGAGCATGTAGATATACATCTTCAGAAGAGCAACCAACCGAATGAAAATTGGTCATTTATGAAATGTAAAGTGATTCACGAATTAGGTACGTTACATACACAGGATGGATAATTCACCATAGATTCTCTCCAGTCGGCAAAATATCTGTTAGTTGCCCTACAGATACTGGAGTCTCAACGGAAAAACACCTCAACGGATGAAAACACTTTGCCACTTAACACTGAGAAGCCAAAAAGGTCTGTACAATGATCTTACTAACATTTCCTAGAGGTGTAATGAAGCGTAAAGAAGATTTTCTTTACAATTCAGTCGACATGGATGTGGCTGAGATGCAGTCTAGGAATGTCCCCGTACAATATCCAAAATTCCGTGTTTTCGAAAAATTCATATCGCCAATCGCCAAGTACGTTTAATTAGTATTTAGATATTCACGAATTAGTTCGACACAATTAGAGACATCACCTTCGACATCGGAATGTAAGCATGTTGGCGGCGCTATAGTGGACAAGTAAGTTACCTGCATCATGTAGTGACCTTTTTCAGCAGTGAAAGGTTGTATACACTGGTGCTGAACATGTCGTCAGCTATCAGTGAACTGACAAAAACGATTAACAACATGTCGTCCGCCATTACTGACTTGAATGTTAATGTTAACCAACTGCTATCGAAGTTTCATGAAAGCGAGAAACCGCATCAATTCGATTGCGGACTATCCAGTCAGCAGTTTCCTTTGTCATCTGAAGAGGAACTGCAGATGCTTGATACCGGTTTGTCGCAGAAAGAAACCAGGGACAGATTTGTAAGTCATTAACATAAATTTAATTATTTGTGACGATTACAGATGGCAATGGTCACTAGGTTATCAAGTGACGACCCAAAAGCGTCCATGCGGTTTGTTCTGTCGTATCTGTTGACACCTGAGGTTGCCAGTAAATTCACGTTACTTGGCACCTCTTCAAAACGAGCACTGCAGAAATGCACGTTTTACGGCTGCATACGAAGTAACCTTTATCTATTACTTAAACTTCAGGTGCTTTGACTCATCGCTTTTTGTCATCCTCTGTCAACGAAAAAGACCTTGGTAAGCTCTACGACATCGCGACCCAAGGTTACTTTCACGACATTCGAGACAAGATGATAAAACGTTCTAGGAGAAAAGATAACCAGGTATGTACAGATTTAAAGTGATAACCTCCCTACGGCTCTATAGTTACAGTCAACAATATTAACGAACATAACCGTAAGTTCAGCTTCAAGTATTTGGGTGTGCCAAAGCATATCATTGAGGTATGGTTGTGACCTTTTTTTTTAATTCAGAATTCACAGGACGACTACCTCAATTCCGAATAGTCCGTGCAATTGTTTTGGTGTTCTACCTCGATGTCAATAAACATTTTTCTTTCAAACAGCTTACTTTTTTACTTACTTGGGAAACTGTTGAGAATGTGTTTGAGTTTGAGTGAACTTTTGATTAAATGGACATTGCTTATGAATAAAACATAACCTGTTCCTTCTTTTTCAGATAATTTTCTATAAAAATGAATTAGCAATTGCATTGGATATGCATAACAATGGATGCTTAAGCTTGTGCTCTACTGTTGTACAATAATAGGCTTTTCTTTTTAAATACAATTTTTAAAAAATTTACCGCTTTTAAACTGCATTGCAGAAATATTTTTGTCTGTTGTTGAAAATAAAGGCGAATGCAGGAGACCTTTGGTCTTCTGTCGATGGATAGAAAATAGGGTGTAATGTGTGTATTTAGGCAGATATGCGACAATTCGGCGGATATTTATGCAAACACGCGACAATTCAGCAAATATTTATGCAAAAATGCGACGATTCGGCGGATATTTAGGCAGATATGCGACAATTCGTCGGATATGTAGGCGAAAATGCAACCATTCGGCGGATATTTAGGCGATAAGTGGGTAATTTGTCGACAAAAAGGCGAAAAAGGGGAAATTCCGCATTATTTCCCCCCGACAGGCGAAAAAGGCGACATTCTGGCGCGTTTTCTCCTTTATTTCCCCTTTCGACACCAAAGCATTTACCCCTTTATTTCCCCTTTTTTCCCCATTATTTCCCCTTTTTGGGTTGTCTGGGCTATAGAACTAAAATATATTAAGTTAACTTAGATTCCATGTGACTAATAGCTGTCAATGAAAACTAGAATCCGGTACATCCATTATTCATTTTACTTTAGGACCACGAACATTTAGCTAAATAGTATCAATACGCTAATACTAAGCATATGCCTCAGAATTCTAAAACCCAGATGGTGAGCGATGAAGCCATCTGTAAACTCGGCTATAAAACAAATCTCACTGGAGTTAGCAATCTACCTTTACTAAATGTAAGTTTCACGTCAGTTGTGTGTAGATAAGTATCAATGACATGTTCGTTTAACGAAATGAAGTAGGAAATAGTGCGACTGAAAAATGTTTGGTTATGCAAAAGAAATGACAGAACAAACTACACCTCCCATATCCCAACACACCTATTTAATAATAAAGATATTCAATCAGTGAGAGTGCTTGCAGCTATATGGCCGGACTAGGTCACCATTTAAAATATGCGCCCTCAATGTACAAATCGTGTCTGAAATCTGGTTCGAAATGTTTCAAATGATTTTGGACGGAATAGAAGAAGCTTTCGCTTAACGGGTTTCTGTGTCTAGTAGTAACTGACTACCAATACCTCCAAGCAAGAACCTAGGTATATTATCAACAAAAGAAGACAAAGAAATTGGTAAATTGTAGTATGATACCATACTTAGTCCTTATGAATATGTCAATTGACTTAAGTTTTCTTCATAAGGACACCTAGAAAGCCGCATGGGCTAGCTCAGACGGCAGCGAATTCCAGAATTTAATAACTCTTAAAGAGTAGAAGTTGTGTCTTCATTCCGTCCTACTGTGTTGTGTCTCCAGTTTCTGGGTGTTACTCCTTAGCTTTTTATGGATACTAAGCTTAAGTAGATGTTTAAGGGGATGTTCAGAAGTGTTTAGGATAATCTAAGCCACTAGAAGGTTACCTCTGAGATGTCTGTACTCTAATGGGCAAAGGTTCAGTGATTGGAGGCGCTCTTCATAAGGTTTGAATGTGAGTCGCCGAACTGATTTTTTTTCTCGCCGTTGGATACATTCCATAGTGTCCTAATCCTTTGGGGGTGAGAGAGGAAATACTATGTTTCCGTACTCTAAATAGGGACGAATGAAACTGTTGGAGATTATGTGGAAAGTTCTTTCGTCAAACTGGCCAAAAATGCGCTTCAATGTTACCAGTGCATTGAGTGTGACATGAGACCTACGTTTAAAGTTTGTAAAAAAATAATTGTATGTGCAAGTCTGACAATATTTGTCTTGATATGTCAAGAGCTGATCTATAGACAGACATTCTGTCTAGATCTCTAGACTCTCAAACTCCCATTTACTTTAATGGTCTTAAAATCTAGAGGTCCAGAAGATGTCTTGACTCTCCGTGGAGGCTTACATAAGAAAAATAGCTGAACTAACAAGAACACCAGCAAACTTCATCCATTACATATTTCTGTATTGACTCCAGTATTATAGTTTCCACCACGGAAAAGAATCTAGGCATCGATTTCCCGCTGAATTTTGGGCGTTTCAATGTACTAAGAGAATGGTTTGATACCTCAGTAGCAAATTTGTGACCCAAAGAAATTTTCAGTACTAGGACGTGGAGATTCTCGTTAAAATCATAAACACGTTTAAGTAAATCCACCACAGGAAACCTGAAAGAGTTGAACAACATTTGTAGTACATCAAATTCTCAACCACAATAGCAACAACCCAACAGCTCACAAAATCAACTGCGTACACAGTTTGTTCAAGAGGGCGAGGACACACTTCAGCACACGGGCAGTACAAATAAATAAAAAAAATACCTGAAGGATGAATTTCAAAAGAACGGCTACCCAATCAACTTCATCAAAAAATACCAACCGCACGCAGCATCAGAACTCAAGTCAAGCACAATATTCAACTGAAGGATCATTCAACCATATATCCAAGGAATATCGGAAACCGCAACGAGACTGTTGAAAACCTTCGGAATAGGTGTGTCACACAAACCAACAAAATCACTATAATCAATCCTATGCAAACCAAAAGATGAAATAACAAAAGAAAACAAATCAAACATCATCTACAAAATAAATTGTGCCAACTTCGAAAAACACTACATCGAACAAAGCGGACGCCCCCTCCACCTACGCTTACATGAACATCAATTAGCAGTCAAACGCCATGATATCTCTTCACTGATATCAATACACGTGGATAACTACGGACACTCATTCGATTGGGAAAATGTAGAAATCTTAGAGGAAACTCCAAAAACACCAGAGAATTTTTAGAAGCCTGGCACTCAGGTCAATCAGCAATCAACAAACATATTGAAATCAATCCAATTTATCAACCAATCAGGAAAATCATGCACAAATATAAAAACAAAAATCAAAACAACGGGAGACACAACCGAAACAAAGAAGTAACCAATGACATATTTAAGGTCAATAAGAACCAATCAACATCGAGGTGTACAGAACAAGCTGTGAAACACATATGGAGAAATTCGAACACTTCACTTCTATCTGAAGTTTGTGCTGATGATGTCGTTCAGAAGAACGATGAAAGCTCCACGACCAAAACATCCAGCTCAGAGAACAAATCTCCACCAGAAGGCATCAACAATCTCAAACATGTGAATCTAACCAACGATCTTCCTTTCGCAGACTTCTGGGCCGACATCCAGCGGTGTTGATGTCTAGCTTCAATCAGTCATTAGTATTGTGAGTCCGTCTCCTATTATCTTCGAAAGTCACTACCTCACACTCGACATGGCCGAACACCTTTTGTCACGATTTTTCATCAGAACTATGGAAATTTTTTCTAGTAAGAATTTGATAAATGTCAATACGGTGATCGCACATCTCGGATCAAAGTTACATATTAACATTGCGGGATGTTGACATGATATATACTATATAAATTACTTACTAATTTGTTTTGACAGCATTGTTGGTTGTTAATGACCCAAAGCAGATATATACACCAAAAAAAGAAATTAACACTTCAGCCTGATCGGACATTGTTTGATTGGATAGTTTTCCTCATTCAGAGGAATAATGTATAGTCTGGTTGCTACGATCCCTCCTAAAAAACGTTTCTCCCTGATAACTCCAAGTCGTCACGTGATTCCTTCAGGATAACGAAAGACTCTAAGCGGTCTGGCTATAAAGTTCAAATGAATTTGTTGTAACTGTGTTCAAATTGTAGCATTCTGTTGATCGCATTTTATAATGACAAACTTTCAAGGATGGAAAAATGTTGATAAAATTATCAGTCAACCAACAACTTAATTTTTTTACTGTCAATTCGAACTCTATACCTCAACTTGCGGCAGAATATTCATTCGTAGACTACATCATTTGGAGACTCCTCAAAGCAGAACCACTTAAAAAAGATATATTCATCTACATTTGACCATATGGCGCTGATCTAGTTCATGGCATGCCATTAGTTAATGGGGCGTTACTCGTCCTTGACGGTGTTCGATAGTACTCACCTAGTTCTGTTTACTTAGATTGCGTTATTTCGGGAATTTCTAGTTCGTACAATAATTCAAATACTTTAAACTATTACACGATGTTTGATACTTCCCAGTGATATATCGCTAAACGTAGAAGTAATTCGGCATGTGGGGTCTCAATGACGTTTCACTGTCTTTACAGCGACCGACATTTGGTTGTTGCGCGGTGACAGTTAACGTTGGTCTATGTGTAGAGTGTCTTGCTCCACTCGTAGTAACCGCTCAGCTGGGCTATCACCACTTATTATTCCAACCATACTTAACTAACATCCTGCCTAATAACCGTAAATTACTACTGATTTCAGAAGTCAACTGAGTCTCATGCATATGGTCCCAATACTGGGAAATTTCACCAGTGAGACTATATATTCTCACCATAAAATATATAATTTATGGACGACTATGAGTGAAGTTAAAGCGACCTTGAGAATATCCACCTAACCATTAAGGCTAAACGAGAGTTACTAAACCTGTGTGAAGAATAAGTATTACGATTTACAGTTGATGGTTAGGGTTAGAAATTAGACCCAGATTTTTCATCACGAACTGACTGCCAAAATCCAAAAACGCTCTTTAACCAAATGGACGAATGGATTCCGCGCCAGAATTCAAGACATTTCGTAATAATAGTAATAATAATAATCCATGTAAGAATTGACAATTCTACAAGGGGACGGGTATTCGGAATCATTGTTTTTTGAGTCATTAAAGTTAATGACCACCACTTTCTCATTACCTTAATATATTATGTTTATTTTTTATAAACGTTACTCAGAATCCTCTTAGGATTATTTAACAGTATACACCTAGCCGACTTACGTGTGAGCAAGATCTCGATGGCGAGATGCATTCCATCCACGTTTTGCTAAACAGAAAAGATAATGGTTTGATCAACAAAAGAATGTATAGAATAGGTTTGCTGATATAAAAAACATCTCTTTAGCTTTGTACTCACTTATCGTAAGAGAAACATAGTAAGACATCTTGCACATAGAGCCATCGAAATATGCTGGAGAAACGCTATAAATAAGTAACTACAGTTTACTAATAATATACTGACTGATATGAGTTAACCGCAGTTTTCTGACGAATATATGGCTGCAGTGAACAGTGAGATTGTGATGTTGAAGATGCCACAGGTATTCGAGTTTGACACGCTTTAACCAGTAACACATTTTATATGAAGCATACCCATCAAGTGAAATCACAAGAGAGGAGAGAGGAGGTTCGAACATATATTTGATAAGTTATCAATATATCGAGGATCGTCTGATCTAATCTGGCTAGCGATTGCAGGGGTTGTTGAGCATGGCGTTCCCACTCGTGATCTGGTGCGGATGCATGACCGAGCGCCTTCAGCTAGGTGAGCCATTAAAACATGTGGTCGGCATCCAATATCGAAAACTTACAGAGCCATTTATTTTGGGGATTTATTTACCGCCACAATGCCAACGGTTGGTGAGAAATCCCTCTCTCTGAGACTACAAATCAATGGAGACATAGCTAATGATGTGCTACGCGATAGACTGACTTAAGCGGTGAAGAGAATATCTAGTAACGTTGATCTCTGTTTATTGTACTTATGTTCGCGTTGAAGAACTTTGAGAGGTCCTTCGTATGCTGATTCGAAAGGTCTTCGATTCGAGTCTCGACGCACGAAGACGTGTGTACTATATCGTAGGTCAGGTTGAACGAAAACATCAGTTGATTGCGGTCGAGTGGAAACAGGTTCAACTGAACGCATTGCGTTTGCAAGCCTGTTCGTTTAGGAGGTTAGATCCATGTTTATTGAAGAGGATGAAGGATCCACAAAATCGCCTGGAAGTCGAAGTGTCGTTCCATAAACTAGTTGAGCCACAGTGTACCCATTGTCAGCTTTCACTGCACTGAGAATAGCTAGTAAGACGAATGGAAGGGCGTTGATCCACTGTGAGACTACAAATCAAAGGAGACCTAGCTAGTGATGTGCTATGCGATAGACTGACTAAAACGGTGAAGAG